CTGTGACTGATTTGAGGTCTGCTGTGTCTGACCTGAGGTCTGCTGTGTCTGACTTCAGATCCTCTAGCTGTGTTTTGACATCCTTATTTGATATATACCAATCGTAGAGTAACTGGATGTAGTCTTTCTCTCCCAAAGGAGCAGACTTCAAATCATCTATATCATCTTGACTCAGTCCCAGTGATAGGAGAGCAGATGAGATATCTTGCCAGTTTTGTTTAAAGTCATCATCATTTATTTCAGTGCTTGGTTTGTGTGCTATTGTATTGTTTCTGTAGTACTTTATCCTGGCAAGGTTAGCCTCTAGTGAGTTGTCTGCTACAGGTGGTAAGGCATCCCATCCAGTTGCTGGTTCTGTAAGTCCACAAATATTTCTTAGAAGAACAAACAGTAAAGTGATATCAAAGTCTTTAGATTGAGGGTCGCTCCCATTTGGTGGATACAGTTTGTCCCATTGGTCAATATTCAGTACTTTCCCTTTTAGTTTCTTCAGCTTTTGTAGTGTTCTTCTAGTATTCAAGAAGTCTTTCAATGGAGATGGTAGATATTTCCCATCAAATACAGAACAAAGTGCTTGTGTGCCTCCATCGACTAGTAACCTACAAAGCTTGGTGTAGTTGATCTTTTCATCTGTTTCTTTGCACCAGCTTGCCGAGGCCATCACTAAGCAAGGAAGTACAAAAGTAATGATAATTAATGCTTTTATGATTTCTAAATTTCTTACACAGTTACTTTTACTAAACTTTATTTCAGCTAGGTCTAGTGTGGTGACTTTACTTGAGCTGAAGAGCAACTGTTAGTTCTATAGAAATATGTGCTGATGATGGAAAACCAAGAGCAATCAGATAGCCCTTCATTGAAGGCTGGTAATGAATTTCAATAGATGTAATCAGTTGATTGATAACTGGAACATTTAATGATGAACAATAAAGCAAGTTTAACAAATTCACGTCTGATGATAGTCATTGTCTATGTGATCTTCTACCCGAGCAGAGAAACCGCAAACTGCAGAATCGAGGCCGTAATTTACGATTTTGGGCGACTTAGAAAATTTTGAGTATAACTAAAATACCGTCAAACATTTCTTACAAATACGAGATCGAAATAAATATAATATAATGAAATTTCTCATGATGCATGACGTTTATTCATTAATTGCATGCGTATATTGCAGCGACAGTTGCAGTGAGGCGAATCCAACTGAATCACGCAGACCAAAAGATCAAGTGAACAAAAAAACCGCACTTACCATCAATCTGAAGACATAGAATAAATTAGGAATAACAAATGGAACTGTGACGCAAATTAAACATAATGAGGGAATTTTTTTTCATTATGTCGATAGTGAACTACTTCGTGACTATAAAATACAGACGAACGATGATCAAAATAAACCATGACGTCATCCGGCCGAATCCGAGGGAGGATGAAAAGTACCCCCTAAAAATAACCCCCTTTTGCTCAGAAGGGAACTCGAGCCTCGATGTTGTAGAACGCCCCCTCCCCTACGGGCCCAGGGCAGCCCGACGGGGCCCGTGATGCAGAATTCCTATTTGTATACTACTTTTATTCCTAATAAGTGATTCAACAAGAATTTTAAAAACGAGGTCTTCTCTCTTTCGTTCCTGAATTAATTKTGGCAGTCAGTAAAAATTGTGGGGGGTAGCCTGGCTCCGCCGGCTCCTCGCTCCTCATGTTGCAGAACTCTCATTTCATATCTACTCAAACCCGACTCAAAAATAACATTTCGAATTCACTTAAATATTTGAGCCTAAATATTTCAGAAATTATATCCCATTGTTTTTGAAGCGATATGATACTTCACTTTAAAAAACGTTTTCTCCGAAGTTTGGATAGGACAAGTTGTAGAAATTTCACTACAATCTAGATGAAGTTCTGGGCCATTGATGTAGGAAGTTTAAAGAAAAAACTTTAGTCTTTAGTCGTTTTGAAGAAAATAGCGAAAATCTCATATTTCATTAGTAAATCATTCTTTATTTATCAAGTTTTTAAAAGTTGATGTTGATTTTCGAAAGGTTTATCCGCAATACTTGGAAAACGAGACGTGAAAACTTCAGTCAAAGCAATCCATTCAATGGTAAAGTTTCTACAGTGCGATTTTTTAAATTTTGGGTCGAATTATAAAGCAGAGTCATAACTTTTTTTCTGCCCTTGATTTCCCAATTACATTTATGCACAGGCTGCATTTGTACTAGATGATAATATTCTGAAAATTTCAGAAAAAAAAAACCTGATGAGGGGAAAAAGCCTAAAACTAAAAATAGCACTGTTTGATTTTC